GAAAGAGAAAGGGAGGGAGGGGGAGAGAAAGAGAAAGGGAGGGAGGGGGAGAGAAAGAGAAAGTGAGGGAGGGGGAAAGAAAGAGAAAGGGAGGGAGGGGGAGAGAAAGAGAAAGGGAGGGAGGGGGAGAGAAAGAGAAAGTGAGGGAGGGGGAAAGAAAGAGAAAGGGAGGGAGGGGGAGAGAAAGAGAAAGGGAGGGAGGGCGAGAGAAAGAGAAAGTGAGGGATGGGGAGAGAGAGAACAAATAGAGAGAGTTGAGAGTTTTGTCACCAAAACTGAAATTGAAACCTAAAGAAAAAAAGATTTCAAAATACAACGACAAAAAAATGTGAAATTCTTAGCGGCTACACAGCGGACACAGGATTTGAGTCGTAGATGCGGGAGCTCGGTGAAGGTAAATGACCTTATTCTCCTCACCGACCAATCAGAAAGCGGCAGAGGATATGGAGACGTTGGCCAAGGAGGTGACAGTGAGGGACGTCAAAATCCTGGCGCAGCGGCAAGAACTTTCTCGACTGCAGGTGGAGTTGACGCAGTCCAACCACATGAAGGAGAGGACGGAGACGAAACTGACTGTGTCAGATGTAGAGAGTCAGGTGACTTTTTGCCGGACGGACGTGTGGCTGTGTGTGTGTGTGTGTGGTGTGTGTGTGTGTGTGTATGTAAATGTCTATGTGTGTTTATGTGTGTACACATTTGCTTCTCGATGCAGTGGAATCAGGCGCCCATCAGTTTTTGTGCATGTGGTGTTATTGGTATCATCTTAAAGCTTGTTCATTTGTCTTGCTTTTGACGGAAAAGAATACCCATCTATCATGAACAGAAGTCAAGATATTTGCAACTGAAGGAAGTGGGGGTCTCCTGGTGTCAGAGGAAAAACTACTGAGTTAATGGCCGCCAAAATTTGGTAACTTCCATAACTTGAGAGTCTTTGGGGAATGAAAATGTATATATTTTGTGCCTTTAATCTACGTTTTTCAATAAAAATCCACCCAGAAATGTGTTTTGAAATGGACATAAAAGAGTTGCGCCCAAAAAAGTAAAAAATTCCATAAAAATTGCCAAACTGGTGGAAAATGTGGGTTTCTTCCATTCCATTCTTTTGACTGACGCCTGATTTCACCACGCTGCCTCACATTTGATGTTGTCAACTTTGTGGATTTGTTTATTTTGTTGCAATGTTGCACTGTCACATGACTTTGATGGTTATGTGTGGAAGTTTGTGTGTATGTGTGTGTGTGTACACATTTGATGTTCCCGCACTATGTGCTTGTAGTAATTTGTTGTGCTTTTTATATATATTATGACATATAGCATGGAATGTGTGTGACGGTGTGCAGGAAAACCAAGGATCTATCGGGAAAAAAGATCACTTTTTGTTATAGTTATAAGGGTATTTTCTAAATCTTTCAAAACAAAACAAAAATGTTTTGGGAGATTAGGGTATAGTTTTAATCAGTTAAAAAATCTTTCTCTATCTGATCAATTTTTTAAAAAAATCTGTCAAAGAAATTGCTTTTTGAGGTAAGAGTCTTTTTCTGAATCTGTCAAAAAATTCACTTTTTGTGATAAGAGTTTTTTCGGGGGGGGGGGGGGGGGGGGGGGTTAATTTTATAAATTTGTGTATTATCCGAGTTTATTTGATTTTTAAATTGTCTTACAAGTATTTTTAAGTCGTTACTTTTCATAAAATTAATGACCTCGACAAAAATACCCAAAAAATAAAGAAAAATGTCATTCAAGTTGCTACTGCTAGAGAAATTATGTGTATTGTGTTGATGGGTTGTTGTGTGTTGCATGTATCTGCTGTTGACACATTTGGGGTTACCGGCATCTGTGGTGTAGTGGTTAAGCAGTCCACTGTCACGTACAGGAGATCCAAGTTTGAATCCCGAGTGGGAAGAAAAATTTTTATCAAGCATCTCGGTCTTTTTGATGGGCTGTTGTATCTCTCTCAGGCTGGGTTGACCCTGGCGAGCAAGGTCGGAAGCCTGCCTCATAAATGATGTAAATTGTGTGGATTGGAGTGGAAAAAATCGCCTACATTTAGGAAAAAGATATAGAGGTAGGGTAGCTGAGTTGGGATGTTATCATGCCTGCTTATATATTACTAGCTGGGCCCCCTTTCGATGAAAGGAATGATCGGTGCATTAACATCAACTGAAAGTCATTGGCCTACTATATTTACACCCTACTGGAATGGAGCAATAAATCTTGAGAGAAAAGTGACACACGTGTTTCCAAGTTGCCAAATATATAATAGATTACAGAGACTGAAGCGTGTTGATTGTTCCCAGTAGCAAGAAAAAGAATTTGACAAAGGAGTCTAGAAAAAGCGGTGATGGGCATCAAACGAAAGGATCACAGTTGAATTTAGCACCAAGTAAAACAAAAAAACCTGAGGCTAGATCTATACAGGTCGCACACTTAAAATAGTGCTCAGTATTGCGCGACAATGCGCGATAGTATCGAACGGAAGTACGACTTGAAACAAACAAACCTGGCGGATTTTCTAAAATTACAGAGACAGAAGCGTCGGCCTACAAAAGCGATCGACGAAATAAAGAAATTAAGCTTATTGCAGCAAAACTGTCTCGAAACTGAAAAAACGAAGGGTGTCATGATCTGGAGAATATTTTAAAGAATATTTTGGCGAAAACCGCATGTTGATCGATGCTGCGATTAAAAAGCCTTTTGAATTTGAATAGCAAAATTGGGCCACCACAAATAGATATTAGACAATATAGTTTTGTTGTTGCTTCTGTGTTGCTTGTGTCCAGCAAGGGTGTTGCGGTGTGCTGTTGTGTGCTGTGTCTTATTAAAAATGACCATTATCATGTCAGTGCACTTCATGACCTTTCCACAAACAGACAAACAAACAAATAAAACAGACAAGCAAACAGATAAACAAGCAAACTGACAAGCGTACAAACTCAACCGATTTGATCACGTTTTGCTTTAAAATAGTGTGATGTAGAATATTGTTGTGTTGGTGTATTTTTCAGTGTGGTTTAGCTCATTGATGTGTTGGTGTGTTTTTCAGTGTAGTTTAGCGCACTGGTGTGTTGGTGTGGGTTTTTTTAGTGTGATTTAATGTGGTGCTGTGTTATTCCAAGCTTTGATGTGATTTGGTGCTTTATGGCGTAGCTTGTGATTTGATGTGATTTTTTAAAAATTGTTTCACACCGTCACTGAAACAGATTGGTGTAGTATTGTATGTTGTAGGTATGTACTTCATTTAGAATTATTTTTTGCAAATATCTTTGTTCTCAGAGACATTTCATTCTCATCATTTCGCAACTGCTTAAGTCAGTTTCTGGAAGTCTCCATTCAAAAACTGTAACTGGTATAGAAACATGAAGAGAGCATCTCAAAGTAACATTATAGTTTCATTCTGTTTCATTATTTCCACCCTAGTTGTTTTTTTTTGTGTGTTTTTGTTATTTTGTTTTTTAAAGAAAAATGCGGGAGGTTGGTGGGTGGTCTGATGTGGTTTGCTCTTTCTTTCCTTTCAAACTTCTATCGTCCTTATTTCTCCTCCTTCTTTCCTATCAAACATTTATTGTCATTGTCTCTCCTCCTTCTTTCCTATCAAACATCTATCGTCCTTTTTTCTCCTCCTTCTTTCCTATCAAACATCTATCGTCCTTATCTCTCCTCTTTCATTCCTATCAAATTTCTATCGTCCTTATTTCTCCTCATTCTTTCCTATCAAACATCCATTGTCCTTAACTTTCCTTCTTTTTTTCTCTTTGTAAGTTACTCTCTAGTAAGACCTCTAAT